GTATATGACAAATTATAAAGTGTTAAACCGAAAGCAAATCAAAACAAAAGCAAAGTAGAAGAGAATAATACACAAAGAAATACAAATTGAAATCAACTTTGAACAACATCAAAACAAAATTTAACCTAAAACAAATTAAAAGAAACAAAGTTCACCAGAGATATTCTCAAAACGAAAATAGAGAAGCCTGTATGAACACAAAACTTTCCTTCTACTTTGTCAAAACTCTCTTTCTTATTGTTATTGTTCGTAAATATGTTTTTGGATATTTAAAATTTTTTTTGGGGGTTATTTTAGTGTAAAAGTAGATTGACAAAACTATAGTCAAGAAGTACTTTTCCCCCAATTTTCCTCATTTTTTTAATAATCAGTTTTGATAATTTTAAATTTAATGCGACATTTTTCAGCAATTTTGTGGGGATCAAATCCTAGTTTATGTAATAATGATTCATAAAAAAAAGTTGAAATAATGATACAAAACAATTGAACCCAAACTCAATTATAATAGGTATGCCTACATTATCAAATGAGACGATAAAAATCTTATCTGAAAATCTAAAGTTAATGTACAAACGGAAACGGTTGGGTAACAAAAAAAAAAAAAACAAATTGAAGTAAAAGCAAAATTAAGAGTCTAAAACATTATCACACCTACAAATCATCATTTCCTCTATGTATATATATAGTTTATTTCATTTCCAAGCTCCGAAAATCCAAAATCCTTGTCTTCAAACCCAAGAAGTCATAACCAACGCTGCTACTAGTACTAATGTCAATTGAAGAATAGCTAATGCTACTGCTATCTTCCGTTTGACATTTTGCAGTATCACTACTACATTCCAAGCCGTTTTCCGTATAAAAACGGGACGCAGTGTAGATCTCTCTCTCTCTTCTCTGATCATGCTTCTTGTTTTGCCATGGTGGACTGATCTTTAGCTCAAGATTCAAATCTGGACATAATTTTTCTTCTTCAACAAGAACTGGATAGTACTCAACTCTCTCTTCTTTGCAAACTAACCCATTTCGATTCCGTTTTTGGTTTTTAGTTTGCTTCTGATCCTCAGTCACAAAACAAACATCTTTCACAACTTGGTCCTCCTCTGTTTTAGTCGACTTAGGAATTTTCGGTTCGTTGATCGATCTGTGAGTAGCGGGATCAATCCCTTTGCTCAAAAGCTTCCTCTTTATATGCGTGTTCCAGTAATTCTTGATCTCGTTATCTGTTCTTCCAGGCAATCTCGCCGCAATTAAAGACCACCTGATAAAACAAAAAACAGAGCATAAGCTTCAGAAAACAGAGCATAAGCTTTGGAAAACAGAGCATAGAAGTTTGAGAAAAGGGACTAACTTGTTGCCGAGGAGGCTATGAAGCTTGATGATAAGGTCATCTTCGTCGTGGGTAAAGTTTCCTCTTTTGAGATCAGGACGGAGATAGTTAATCCACCGGAGACGGCAGCTTTTGCCGCAACGTAGAAGACCGGCGGCTCTAGGGAGAGATCGCCAACAACCTTCACCGTGAGAATTGATGTAAGAGACGAGCCTCTCGTCTTCTTCTTTAGTCCAAGCACCTTTGTTCATGTGTTCCTTCTCGCAGCAAGGAGATCTGCCCATCTTCTTCTGATCTTCTCAGCTTTTTGACTCTGTTTTGAGGGTTTTATG